ACTTTTGAACTTTGGTAAAAATCGAACATTTCTGCTAATTTGAGCTCAATTTCAAGGTACTTTTCATTGTAAAAACCAGTCAAAATCATCTCAATTTCTGTAATATGTCTTCCATTCTATAAAATGAGACCAAGAAAACTAGAATACAACAATAAATACCATACGAAAATACAGTGCAAAGTCGCTGTTTTATTCCAAAAAAAAACGGTCAAAGTTTTTTTTTTTCTCATTATACACTGTGTGCTGCAGGATTTTTTTTATACTGTGCACACTGACCACATAGACCCATTCTTTCATATGTAGGCCTACCAGCTTTCTCCCACTAGATTTGAGGGCGCTAGAATTTAGGCGTACTAGTACGTCAAAAACCCTGGGTCGTAAGCCGTACTAGTACGGCCGAAACCTTCAAAGGGTTAAGGGTTAAAAAGCATTTACTGTGTTCATTAATTTACTCACACTATACTGAATGGGTACTGAATTTTTAAGAATAACATAATTATGGCTGTTGTCATTATTTTTGGATGACACAAGAATCTGCACAAGAATTCAGTACAACGTGACTCACAAAATTGTAATGACACGATTGCAAACAAACCATATCACAGGTGGGGTTTGAACCTGCAGTCAAAGAGTCTCAAAACTCCAGACTGTCACGTTAGCCACTGGGCCAGCTAGCTTTAACCCTTTGGGGGTTTCGGACGTACTAGTACGGCTTACGACCCAGGGTTTTTGACGTACTAGTACGCCTAAATTCTAGCGCCCTCAAATATAGCGAGAGAAAGCTGGTAGGCCTACATATGAAAGAATGGGTCTATGTGGTCAGTGTGCGATGTATAAAAAAAAATCTTGCAGCACACAGTGCATAATGAGAAAAAAAAACTTTGACCGTGTTATTGGATTAAAACAGCGACTTTTGCACTGTATTTTTGTATGGTATTTATTGTTGTATTCTAGTTTTCTTGGTCTCATTTTATAGAATGGAAGACATATTATAGAAATTGAGATGATTTTGACTAGTTTTACAATGAAAAGTACCTTGAAATTGAGCTCAAAGTAGCAGAAATGCTCAATTTTTACCCAAGTTCAAAAGTAAACAAATCATGCCAAGCATCCAATACACATCAACTGGTGAGTCTAATATTCATTCACAAGTGCGCTGATGTTATTTATACCATTTCTACACTAATGCAGTAGTCTGCATAACAGTAAACCTTATTTTTTTTTGTAAGAATAAAAATTCAAAGTGGAAAGCCAAAGAAATATAAGAGGGGCCTGGGGATGTGACTAACGAACAGAGAACTTGTTATTTTAGTGCCAGGAATGTCTTTGTTTATTCTGGACCCTATTCGGAAATTGGCATCTTTTGAAATTTGTGAAATTGGCAAAATTGCTAAATTCTGACCACTTTATTGGATAGTTGAAATCGGTAAATGGGTGGTTTCTTGTACTCATTCGATAAAAAAAATGGAGTTCTAGTGAAATAGTTATGATTTTTGTCAACTAGTACACTGGAATTGGCTGAAAATAGGGCTCAAAATGGACAAAATCACCTATGCGTAAACATCGTCGAGACCGCTAATTTCGCGAGAGCATAATTCCGTAAGTTTTCCATCAAATTTCATACTTTTGGTGTCATTATGATCGGGAAAAGATTCTCTATCTTTTCATAAGTTTTTTTTTTTTTTTTTTTAAATTTGGCCGACCCTGAGAGCAAGTCTCTGAGAGGACCTGCCGACCCCCTAAGGGTTAATAAGATTCATCCATAGGAAGGTTAACATAGGCAGCACTGTGATGACAAATGCGAGTTTTTACAGACGAATCTCCCTCCCGCTAGCATGGCTGTGACGAACTCTAGCTCAAGTCCCCTCAAAGCCATCAACATGACTCACGATATCGTAATGACACGATTGCAAACAAACCACACCATGGGTGTGGTTTGAACCTGCAGTCAGAGATGCTAACGCTATGGTCTGGAGTTTTGAGACTCTCTGACTGCGGGTTCAAACCCACTCGTGGTATTGTTTAATTCAGTACAACATTGGTATTCGTGTACAGCAGAGCCCCGCTTTTCAGCGTTTTGCCTTACGGCGTTCTGCTAACACGGCGATCTCAAATTATGACTGAAACCTTCTATACAGCGAGCAGTCTTTCAAATGCAGTGGTTTGTTTTCATTCTCCATGAGCACATATCTCTATTATGTAATAATAATCACTCCTGGGCACATTAAATGTCTTATTACAGTATACTACATCAATATAGACATTTTCATTAATCTATCTATGATATTTTCTTCAAAATTATGTAAGAAACACGTTATATAGCATATAAACATGCTATGGAGGTGTGCTTGCCGGGCAAAGGGAAACCATTACATAATACTAATAATAATCACTCTTGGGCACATTAAATCTTATTTTACATCAATATAGACATTTTCATTAATCCATCTATGACTTTTCTTCAAAATTATATAAGAAACACGTTACATAGCATACAAACATTTTATATTTATATACTATGGAGGTGTGGTAGCCGGGTGGAGGGAAAAGATTACGTCACTCCCCTTAATACACAACGCTTTTGTTTACAATTCTCGGCATGAATTATTCATTACTTCTCCCTTTGTTCATGATGGCATCTAAAGGTAGTTGTTAGAAACAATTAAACTCAGTGAACATGGTATGTTGATGGTAATGATATGGCTCTGGGCCACATTAAATATTGTGTAGCTATGTAGGTAGGTGTAGGTATGTAGCCCAGGCGGACTACATACCTACATTATTTTTATAACTGATAATTATACGTATGTGTACCGGTACCTAAGTATACCTTCACTCAGGGCGTTCATTTCTTCTAAAAATGGTGGTACATGAGAATGGGAGTGTTTCTCTTTATGTATTCTACTGTATCAATGTGGAGAGAACTTGTACACAATGTAAAGTGACGAAAACCAGACGCGTTCACCTGGTTTGTTTACATTGAGTGTGGGTGGGGTGGGGAGGGCTGCCCTTCCTGGCTACCCATACTTCCCAAACCTGACTTCCTACAAATAAAACTCACCTCTCACCCTCCATTAAGACTACAAATATTTTAAAGTAATTAATGAAAGTACTGTATACATATTTTATCACTCTGGGGAGCTTTAATTAAGTGTAGTACAGTGGACCCTCGACTAACGCTATTAATCCGTTCCTGAGAGCTCATCGTTAGTCAAAATAATCGTTAGTCAAGTTAATTTTCCCCATAAGAAATAATGGAAATCAAATTAATCCATGCAAGACACCCAAACGTATTGAAAAAAAAAAATTTTTAATACATGAAATATTAATTTTAATGATTGATGGGATGGGAAGAGGGGAGTGTGTTGATGGTCTTAGTGTTTAGAAGGGGAATCCCCTTCCATTAGGACTTGAGGTGGCAAGTCCTTTTTCGGGGTTACTTCCCTTCTTCTTTTAATGCCATTAGGACCAGCTTGAGAGTCACTGGACCTCTGTCGCACAACATATCTGCCCATAGAGGCCTGTACCTCCCGTTCCTTTATGACATTCCTAAAGTGTTTCACAACTTTGTCAGTGTCACCATTAAACACTTGTTCAGGTTTCAGTCCTTCACTGTCTATGTACTCCTTGAATTCCTGCACATATTTTTCAGCTGCTTTTTGGTCCAAACTGGCAGCCTCACCATGCCTTATCACACTATGTATGCCACTATGATTCTTAAATCTCTCAAACCAACCTTTGCTGGCCTTAAATTCACTCACATCAACACTAGTTGCTGGCATTTTTCTAATTAAATCGTCATGGAACTTCCTAGCCTTTAAACATATGATCGCTTGAGAGATGCTATCTCCTGCTATCTGTTTTTCGTTTATCCATACCAATAACAGTCTCTCAACATCTTCTATCACTTGCGATCTCAGTTTCGAAAACATAGTTGCACCTTTGGCAAGAACAGCTTCCTTGATTGCCGTTTTCTTGCCACAATAGTAGCGATGGTTGATTGGGGTTTTGTGTACAGCCTGGCCAGCTTGGAGACACGCACTCAACTTTCATACTTAGCAATGATCTCTTTCTTCATATCCATAGTAATTCTCACCCTTTTTGCTGTAGGGTTGGCACTAGAAGCTTTCTTGGGGCCCATGGTGACTTATTTTGCAGGTGCAGTCACTAAAAAGGCTGTGATAATATGAAATGTTCCGATTGTATGCTTGGAAGCGACCGCGGTGGCTGGCTGGCTTGTAAACACTGGCCAGAAGTGGACGCGTCTCAGACGGAACGAATAGTGTTGGTCGAGTATTTTAGCGCTAATCGAGGCAAAATTTTTGCGATAAAATGTATCGCTAGTCAGATTTATCGTTAATCGATGCCATCGCTGGTCGAGGGTCCACTGTATATTATGTGTGGGTGGGGTGGGGTGACCTGGTTGGCTACCATACCTCCCAGACCTGACTTCCTACAAATAAAACTTACTTCTTACCCTACATTAAGACTACAAATATTTTAAGGTAAGTAATGGGTGTACTGTGTGTGTGTATTTTACTTTTTATTGTTTTTAATGCCTAGTTCTATTGCTAATGTAATATATGTTAGTGTAAACTTGTTACCTGGCATTTATTTGCATTTATAAGTGGAAAATATGGCGTTATGCTTCCAGCAGTAGCCTGGAACCTAACCTGCCGTATAAGTGGGGCCCTACTGTACATGTGTCCATAGTGCCCCAGAGAGTACCACCTCAGTAAAACAAAATGAGTACATATTTATATTGAACATCATTGATGTATAGCCTGTTTCCAATATCTGGCAACATAGAATACTTCAAGCAGTTTTAAATTAATGCAGTGAACATGCATACATAACGTGATCTTTTACTCTCCATTTGTGTGTTAGTGGCCACCCCCCTGTTCTCATTGGAGGGTAAAAAGGGAGCCCATTAAAATTTGTAGTTGATGTGTATGTCAGAAGCTAGTGTTTCCCTGATTAACTACTACTAACTCTTATAGCCCAAAGGTAATATGCAAACTAAGAAGAATATGGCAGTGAAGTTTGTTAAGACCGATGCAGAAAATAGCAAGTTAGCAAGGGATGATTTCTCTGGAGACATGGTGGAACCAAAGAAATTTAACAAGGTAAATGCTCATGTTTATGTAGTTGTTAAAAGATTTTTTCAATTTTTTAAATTAATTTAATAGTGGTGTACTCTTTCACAACCCAATGTTGCACTTGGCTGTGTGACTTTATTAGCACAACACCAGTATATAGTGCTTGTATACAAAGTATTCAGATAACCACTAAAAATCCATATAGATTTATCCTACTTACATCCTTCCATCTATACATATCCCCTCCATCTCATTTTCCATCCCTTCCCTCTTAATAGTTTCTTCCTCATTACTGAAGTAATTTTTAAGAGTTGCTAGAATATATGCATGTGTGCCAATATTTTTGATCGATTAAGACGGATGCAACATTCTTGTGAACATATCCTTAACTTGTCCAAGTAAGTGGTTGAGTACAGTGTAAGAGTATAAAAGGATACGAGTAAATACATTAAGAACGTTTCTCTGCACCATTAACAGGAAGAATAAAAGGTTACATTTGCAAACTAAGAAAAATGGTTTCAGAAGGACATAAATATTTTTTTACAAATAGTAGTAGACTTTGGAAATGGGAACCAGATGTGGTAGACATGGAAAATGGGAACTAACAGGAGGTAGCATATGCTAAATAAATAAAGAAGACCTGAGGACGGGAGCCAACAGGAGGAAATGTGGGCTCCAACCATTGATATCTTTAAGCACTTTGATAAACCAAGTGTTGAAGGTTGAACACCATACACTTAGCTCTGCTCATGTAATTACAGATAGTTGATTTATGCTTAGCCACACCATCCAACTTTAGTTTATCATTTTTTGAGAAAGAATCCTCATTTCATTGATTGCAAATGTATTACAATGTATCTGAAGTCATTGCTAAATTACCTGAGTAATTTCTGTTTTTTCACAGACCAAGGAAAAAAAGAAGACCGAGAAGTTGGGCGTAGCATCCAGTAAAAAGGGATTGGCCTTCATGAAACTTGGTGCAGATAATAAGAAACGCAACAAGGCAAAGAGTGATGATTTCTCAGGTGTGAAAATGATGGAAACCAAGCAGTTTAACAAGGTAAGTTGGTGCCTTTACATTTTGTACCTAGTAAGTGATATTTCATTCAGCATTGTGACCCTGTGAACACAGTACCAGTTATCAAAACTTATGTATGTTCTAGTACAAAGGATTCAATGGAAGCTTTTCTCCCTTAAGTGCGAGAAGAGAGATGGGCCCTGGTGCTTTCCCTCCTGAGTCCATTTAATCCTTTGCCTCAGTTTTTTTTTTTTCCTTTCAAGATATATCCATTTTCTTTAATTTCAGTTCTTCATATTCATTCATAGTCTCATACATTTCAAATATTTGCAATTTTGATGTATCCATGGCTCAGTTTTTGCAAGAGGTGAACATGCTGTAAGAGTTCATATAACACTTCAACTGAAAATTTGTAGACTATATAAACACTGAAATTGGGAAAAAATTTATATGAGCAAATTTTAGCATTAAATAAGTAACACCATGCTAAAAATTAAACATTGAATGACAATAGACAGTGTATCTGAAGAAAACCCTTTTCTAGCTTTTCTGGCTGCAAACATATCAGTAGTATCATTAGAGTTAATATTTTTTTTTTTGTCAATTCTCTGTGCTTAAATTTTTAATCAACTAATCTTTCTTGGTTTATGATACTCCCCAGTATGATTTTTAATCAGCCTCAGTTTACTGAAAAATCTCTCAGCCTAGGCAACAGTCATGGGTGCAAATAAATCTGTTTTGTGATTTTGTTAAGGCAGTGAATATAGTGACTTGTTACTTGGCTTTCCTCTGCAAATTGCTTATAGATGCAATACTTAGAGTAATGTTTTTGTGGCACATCATCTCTGTACTCTAGTTGAACTTTTGATCATACATAATTACCTGATCACTTTTATAAAAATGTAATGTCATCAATAGTACAGCGATAGCTAAGCCTACATACACGAAACTACAGTCAGTTTAATAGTCTCAGACTCCCTGTCCTCATTAGTTGCTCTAAGTAGCCTGAGGTCTGAATCATTTTGAAATGGAATCAAAGAATGTAGATAGTTTGCACCATCCCCCAAAAAAGTATATCTCTTTGCAATAGGCAAAATTTAATGAGTGGCAGTTATGAAAAGTAGAGATGCACCCTTGTGTTTTTGGCAAACCATACATGTAGATTGGAGAAGTATTCATAGTTGTGAATTCTTTAACAACTTGTTCAGATTTCTGATTTTATAGATTTATCAAAAATTTTAACCATATTGTCTTTAGTGATTTAAATATTCATAAATCTAGGTATCATTGAGTAATTCTTTTGATTCGTTAGACCTTTCGTGGTTGACTTATCATTTTTTACAGATAAAGAAAAAAGGAAAGCTCACAAAAGAAGATAAGAAGAAACTATACATCGCCCATCAACTGACTGGTGTCAAGCCTCAAGTGAAAAAACAGGCCTCAGTTATTAACTAGAGATGCTATCTAATGTTCTTGATAGGAAGTCCTTTGACTCTGTTATTGTCTTTTAGGTTCAGTCAGGAAATTACATGTGCTACCAGGGAGAGTTGTCATTGCAATATTGTTGAATTTTTTATTATTATTTTGTTAATGTTTGGATTGGTAAGGCTACCTGTCAAATATTTGTACATTTTATAAAATATGCACTATATGTAACATTTTTTCTTGTGCATTATGTTAAATATAAGTTTTCTTTATTGAGAATTACGAATTAAATTAATTAAATTTAATTTTCCTTTATTATTCTCCTATAATAGCTCTAATTTATCTTGTGGGGAAGAAACTCCAGCTCATGGGCCCCACCAAAATGAACCACTTATTCACTGGGGTGATGGCCGCCTAACTCTCTGGGTTCTGTCACATAACGTTTAAACCCATATACAGTGGTCTCACAATAATCGTCCGGCCTGAAAGTCGTCCATTTCGGAAATAGTCCTGTTTTTTCGTCTAAATATTGGCTCGCAAATGGTTCGGTAACTCGCTAATAGTCCTTTGTCCCGGACACATACTCACGCTCTGAGCCACCTGGGCCTTCCCTTCCCAGCCAGTGTGCCATTGTTTACCAGTGAGCGACGGTCCCCTCACGTGCTCCAGCGAAATATTTCATAAGATTTCATTTAAGTGCTTGCAAGTTATTTAAGTGCTAAATAAGCTACCATGGCTCCAAAGAAAGCTTCTAGTGCCAAGCCTCTGGTAAACCATACCCCCGGCCGGGATTGAACCCGCGGTCATAGAGTCTCAAAACTCCATTCTGGTAAAGAAGGTGAGAAATACGATTGAATTTAAGAAAAACATCATTGAACAATATGATAGTGGCGTACGTGTGGGTGAACTGGCCAGGATGTATAACAAATCCCGTACAACCATATCTTCCATCATAGCCAAGAAAAAGGAAATCAAGGATGCTGTTGTTGCAAAGGGGGTAAATATGCTGACAAAAATGAGATCACCAGTACTCGAAGATGTTGAGAAGTTATTGGTGTGGATAAATGAGAAACAATTAGCAGGAGATAGTCTTATGACGTCGCTTATTTGTGAAAAGGCTAGGCAGTTGCATGACGATTTGGTAAAGAAATAGTTAGTGGTGATGTGAGTGAATTTAAGGCCAGCAAAGGCTGGTTTGAAAGATTTAAGAAGCGTACTGGCATACACAGTGTGGTAAGGCTGCCAGTTCGGACCACAAGGCGGCTGAAAAATATGTGCATGAATTCAAGGAGTACATAAACAGTGATGGACTGAAACCTGAACAAGTGTTCAATTGTGATGAAACAGGCCTCTTTTGGAAGAAAATGCCAAAGAGGACCTACATTACTCAGGAAGAAAAGGCACTGGCAGGACACAAGCCTATGAAAGACAGGCTGACGCTAATGTTCTGTGCTAATGTTAGTGGGGATTTCGAAGTGAAGCCGTTACTAGTGTACCATTCTGAAAATCCCATAGTGTTCAAGAAAAAAATATTATGAAGAGTAAATTGTGTGTGCTTTGGAGATCTAATAGTAAGGCATGGGTCACGAGGGAAATTTTTGTAGAGTGGTTCAATGAAGTGTTTGGCCCTAGTGTGAAGAATTACCTCTTGGAAAAGAAATTGGATCTCAAGTGCCTCCTAGTAATGGACAATGCACCTGCTCATCCTCCAAACTTGGATGACCTAATTCTGAAGGAGTTTGGGTTCATCACAGTAAAGTTCTTGCCCCCGAATACCACTCCTCTCCTCCAGCCCATGGACCAGCAAGTCATTTCAAACTTTAAAAAACTCTACACCAAAGCAATGTTTGAAAGGTGCTTGAATGTGACCTCAGACACTCACTTGACCCTACGAGATTTTTGGAAAGAGCACTTCAGTATTCTCCATTGCGTAAGCCTTACAAATAAGGCTTGGGAGGGAGTGACTACCAGGACTTTGAACTCTGCTTGGAGAAAATTGTGGCCAGATTGTGTCCACAAGAGGGATTTTGAAGGGTTTGAGGCAACCCCTGATGAGCCTATGTCAGTTATAAACTCTATTGTCGCACTGGGGAGTTTCATGGGGTTGGATGTGAGTTTGGAGGATGTGGAAGAGTTGGTGGAGGACCACAACGAAGAGCTAACCACTGAGGAGCTGCAAGAGCTTCAGCAGGAAGAGCAACAGATCGCAGCTCAGAATCTTGCTGCAGAGGAGGAGGAAGAGAGATGGAGGAAGGTGCCTTCTTCAGAAATTAGAGATTTTTGAAATGTGGGATAGGATGGAAAGATTTATGGAGAAACATCTCCCAGAGAAGGATGTTGTAAGCCATATCGGCAACTTGTACAGTGACAGAGTCTTGGCCCATTTTAGGGAAGTTTTAGAGACGCCAGAAACAGAGGTCTCTGGACAGTTTTTTTTGCGAGACAGGACTCCAGTGACTCTCAAGGTGGTCCTAGTGGCATTAAGAAACAGAAGAGAAGCAAACCCAGAAAAGCAATTGGTACCCGAGGTGTTGATGGAAGGGGATTCCCCTTCCAAACAGTAAATCATCCAATCTGTCTCCTTCTCCAGTCTTCCATACACAAAGAAGAATCGCCAATAAAGGTAAGTGTTATTCTGTTAATGTTTAATTCATCATGTGCCACTGTATTGTTTATGTACTACATCTATATTTCATGTAAAAAAATTTTTTGTTTTAATACTTCTGGGTGTCAGGAACGGATTAATTGAATTTACATTATTTCTTATGGGGAAAATTGATTCGTAAATCATCCATTTCAATAATAGTCCCACTTCCAGGAATGGATTATGGATGATAATTGAGGGACCACTGTATATATATTGACAGGCTCACTGCATGTAGTCCATGTTACTTAATATCCTCATACAGAGAAATTTTTTATATCTTCTTTCTTTCAACACACTGGCCGCATCTCACTGAGGCAGGTGGCCTAAAAGAAACAAGGAAAGTTTCTCCTTTTAAATTTAGTAGTGTATACAGGAGAAGGGGTTACCAGCCTCTTGCTCCCAGTATTTTAGTTGCCTCTTATGACACGCATGGCTTATGGAGGAAGAATTCTGTTCCACTTCCCCATGGAGATAAGAGGAAATAAAGAAGAATAAGAATTAAGAAAACAAGAAAACCCAGATGGGTATGTATATGTATGCATGTGTAGTGTGACCTAAGTGTAAGGAGAAGTAGCAAGATATATCTGGTATTCCACATGTTTGTGAGACAGAAAAGAGACCAGCAATCCTACCATCATTATTATTATTCTTTCAACTAACCAGCCATATCCCACTAAGGCGGTGTGGCCCAAAAGAAAAAAACTGAAGTTTCTCCTTTTAAATTTAGTAATATATACAGGAGGGGTTATTAGCCCCTTGCTCCCGGCATTTTAGTTACCTCTTACAACAAGCATGGTTCACGGAGGAAAAATTCTGTTCTACTTCCCCATGGAGATAGGAAATAAACAAGAATAAGAACTAGTAAGGAAACACAAGAAAACCCAGAGGGGCATGTGTATACATATGCTTTTCTATGCATATGCAATGTGACCTAAGTGTAAGTAGAAGCAACAAGATGTACCTGAAATCTTGCAGGTTTATGAGACAGAAAAAAAGACACCAGCAATCCTACCATCATGTAAAACAATTACAGGTTTCCATTTCGCACTCACTTAGCAGGGCGGTAGTACCTCCCTGGGTGGTTGCTGTCTACCAACCTACTACCTAGTTTTATATAACTCTGTCACTTTTGTGCTGGTTACATTTATCGCTCCTTGTCATAGTTTTAGTTGAATTCCCCTTCCCTTCAAGGTGGGAGGAGTTCAGTAGGGTAAATTTCCCCCTTTTGTAAAATCCAGCCACTCAAGGGAGGTTCCTCTATGCATGGTGAGGGACTCTTGATCTAAGGGATTAGACCTGTGCTTCAGTTCCTTGAATCGAATCTGAACACTTTACATTTTCCCAGGCACTGTATGACCCCTATGGGTTTAGTGCTCCTCCATGAATGTAATAATAATGTAAACCCAGCTCCTTTACATGAGAGGGATCACTATCAGCCCTGTTCTAATGTAGCTTCCATTGGTAGTGCAGCAGTAGTTGTCCCCTCATCCAATGGAAATTTAGATAGTCTTAGGACAAGTCAGATGATACTTTGACAAGACATCAGGGGGCCATCTATCAATCTCGTGGTGGAAATATTACTGGATCATGATATTCTTTTGGGTCACCCTGCGATCTCCCACCGAGGCAGGGTGACCCAAAAAGAAAGAAAATCCCCTAAAAGAAAATGCTTTCATTATCATTCAACACTTTCACCTTACTCATACATAATCACTTGTCTCTGTAGAGGCACTCAAATACGACAGTTTAGAAGTCCCTCCAAACTGCCAATATATCCCAAACCCATCCTTCAAAGTGCAGGCATTGTACTTCCCATTTCCAGGACTCAAGTCCAGCTAACTGGTTTCCCTAAATCCCTTCACTAAATATTACCTTGCTCACACTCCAGCAGCTCGTCAGGTCCTGAAAACCATTCATCTCCATTCACTCATATCTCATATGCTCACACATGCTTGCAGGAAGTCCAAGCCCCTCACCCACAAACCTCCTTTACCCCCTCCCTCCAACCTTTTCAAGGATGACCCCTACCCCTCCTTCCTTCCCCTACAGATTTATACGCTCTCCAAGTCATTCTACTTTGATCTATTCTCTCTATATGACCAAACCACCTCAACAACCCCTCTTCAGCCCTCTGACTAATACTTTTAGTAACACCACACCTCCTCCTAATATCTACACTCTAAATTCTCTGCATAATATTTACACCACACATTGCCCTTAGACAGGACATCACCGCTTCCAGTTGCCTCCTCGCTGCAGCATTTACAACTCAAACTTCACACCCATATAAGAGTGTTGGTACCACTGTACTTTCATACATTCCCTTCTTTGCCTCCATAGATAACATTGTTTGTCTCCAGAGATACCTCAATGCACCACTCACCTTTTTTCCTTCATCAATTCTATGGTTAACCTTATCCAAATCTTCCTAAATTCAGTGATACCCTCCTGCAAATCTATTTGGCCTATTTTCATGTAGAATTTACTAAGGTCACTAACAAATTATGAACAAGGGGTCCAAGACTGATGTTTGTGGAATGCCCTATGGAATCAATCCCCATTTTAATTATGCCCCATTTATGCAAACTGCTTCCCAGGGAGGTTCTTTCATGCTGGAAAGGTGCTCTCATTCCAAGGAATTGGTCTAGACTTCCATTT